ACACACCAACTAAAATCACCCTTGTCAGTGTTTCCTCAGAACTCAGACGCACTGCATGCCAACCGATCGGCATCCTCGTTATGCTCCCTCAGCAATTGGATGAACTTGATCTAATCGAAACTCTCAGCCTCCTTCATAATGGCTGAATGATATGCCTCCATTGTTTCATCTTTGGTTCCATACTCCCCAGTCACTTGCCGAACGACCAACTGTGAATCGCTACGACTAACCTTTTGACTTTTAGCTCCTTGGCCAACTTCAATCCAGCCAGTAATGCTTCATATTCTGCTTCATTATTGGTCGCTCTGAACTCCAGTCTGATTGCCTGGCTCAGCGTGGTGCCTTCTGGTGTCTGTAACTTGATCCCAATTCCTGGCCCCATCTGATTTGAAGAACCATCAACGAAAAGCTTCCACGAGGAGTCTTCAGGATTTTCCTCTGGCTCTTCCACATCACACTCCAATAGGAAATCAGCCACAGCTTGCCCTTTGATGGCCGTTCGGGGTTCATACGTTATGTCAAAAGAACTCAGCTCTATTGCCCACTTCGTCAATCGTCCGGACAAATCGAGCTTATGCAAGATCACCCTTATAGGAAATGTGGTCAGGACGACTATAGGATGGGACTCGAAGTAATGCCTGAGTTTCCTCTTTGCATTCACCAAGGATAAGATCACTTGTTCGGCCTTTGAATACCTTCTCTCTGACTCGGTCAGTGTTTTGCTGATATAGAAAACTGGTTTTGGGGCAGTTAGGACTAGTGGGTTTCGCATATACTCCTTCAACTCTGTCAGTGCTTGCCTCTGCTCATCCCCCAGGATTGTTTTCCGTGACTCCTTATTGTATTAAAGAATGGCTTGCATCAGTCTGAAAACTTAGAGATGAATCGACTTAGGGCCGCTATGCGTCCCGTGAGAGCTTGGACTTCATTGACAGTGCTTGGTTCTGCATTTTTTAGTAAAGCTTCCGCTTAGGCTGGGCTGACTTCAATTCCTCTGCTGTTGACCACGTGGCCAAGGAATTGCCCGGATCCCACGCCGAACGAGCACTTGGTTGGGTTTAGCCTCATTCCATACCTTCTCAGTACACCGAACACCTCCTGTAAATGTTACAAATGATTGTCCTTCTGTTTGGTCTTTACTACCATCTCATCGATGTAAGCTTCAACAGTTTTACCCATTTGATTCTTGAAAATCTTGCTGACCAACCTTTGGTACGTAGCTCCAGCATTCTTCAGTCCGAACGACATGACCTTATAACAATAGGTCCCTCATTCAGTGACAAAAGAGGTCTTTTCCTCATCGTTCGGATCCATTGGGATTTGATTGTAACTTGAATAAGCATCCAGAAAGGTTAATCGTTCATACCCAGTTGTAGCATCCACCATTTCATCAATCTTTGGAAGAGGAAAGCTATCCTTCGGGCAGGCTTTATTCAGATTGGTGAAGTCAATGCAAACCCTCCACTATCCGTTCTTCTTTTGCACTACAACCACGTTCGACAGCCAGAACGGGTACTGAACCTCGATGAATCCAGCCTTTAACAATCTATCAACTTCATCCGCAATGATCTGGTTGCGCTCTGGGGCGAACCTTCTTTGCTTCTGCCGTACAGGTTTAACGTTCGGATCTACACGAAGGGAATGACAAGAGACAGAGGGGTCGATCCCCGGTATGTCCGAATGGCTCTAAGCGGACACATCTGCATTCTAGGAAAGGAAATCAATCAACTAGCGCCTTTCTTCCTCGTCAAGCCCTGAATCTATATTTGTGGTTCGGTCTGGCCTCAAATGATCAATTTGAACATTAACTAGAGGTTCCTCGGTCAACACCGGAGGCTCCTCCTCCCCGTTCGTGCTCGGGGGAGGCTTCTGTAATTGCTATTGTGGGCTATCAGATCAGATGGGAGCTTTTCCCTTCCCTGCGGCTTTCAGAGTCACCGAGTAACATTCCTTTGTTGCAACCTGGTCCCCATGGATATCAATCACCTTATTTCCATCCGGACTCAGACATCTCATCACTTAGTGCAGGGTCGATGGGACTCCCCGGACCCTATGAATCCACCCTCTCCCCATCAGCAGATTGTAGGATGGATGGATCTCCACTACCACAAAGCTTTCAACAAGTTTTCTCTCGGCAGCTCGGACAAGCAATTCTACTGTGCCGATCGGTTCGACTTGCTTTCCATCGAATCCCAACAATGGATTCCTAGTACATTTAAGTGCTTCTGGCTTGATTTCTAGCCGATCGAAGGTGACCCTAGGCATGACATTCGCACTGCTCCCTGGATCAATTAGCACCCTTCGTACTGCGCCACTGTCAAACTAACAACCGAAGGGCCTTCATGAGGAATCTGAACTCGCAGCAGGTCTGTTTTGTCAAACTTTATCTGCGTTGATGCGCTCTGCTGGTGCAGAGTGTTGACACTGCCTATTCGCCTCTTCATTTGCGCTTGGCGGAGACGCGTTCGAAGTAATTCTTCAGATTATGTTGTCTGTTCAAGTTGGCCATAAATTGCATTTATAATCCGAACGGGCTAAGCGTTATAGTGATTTGGCTTTCGATTTCTCTTGACTTGCGCAACTGGTCGATTCTGCTCATGTGCTGGCCTTGAACATTTCCTGCAAATTCTCCCCTTGCGATCAGCAGTTCCACTTGCCTCCTTAAGTTCCTGTATTCATTAGTCTAGTGACCAAAATCACTATAAAAAGCACAATGTTTAGATTGGTCTCTCTGTTCGAGAGGTTGTCTGATTGGTAAGGGGGGACGAAACTTATCTTTGTTTTCTAGGTACAGCCTTGCCAGAGTTACTTTGAGTAGAGTAACTCTCACCTCCAATCATCATTCCTGATCGGAGTAAAGTCATCAACCACAACTTTCTGGTCAGATCTAAGTTTCGCTAATGCAATCACACTAGATCTAGACTCGAATTGGCTTAATTCTGACCTTACTAGACCAGATCCGAATCTCTTCCACCGTGAACCTGTCAGATCTAGCTCTGGCAAACAAAACACAATTGCATAGATCGATTGAACAGGCACAGACGAGAGCTACGTAGATCGAACGCGAATCTCTTCAAAATAAACCAGGATCGGAATTCGGCAAGACAAACAACGATTTCACCGATACTGATTCAGTTTTCAGAGATCAAGCTTCTTCTTCACGAATCACTCACGATCGAATCACTTTTGACCGATCGAGAATCAATCTTCCTCATTTCCCACAGACAGCGCCATTGAAGATGCAAGAAATTTCTCTCTCTATTTTGACAGAGTAACTCTACACTTCAAGATTTTTTCACCCTCTTTTCCCTCTGTTTTCCGTCTATTTATAGACTACCACAATCCTTCCAAAAGCTTCCTAACTAATTCCTTGCGCTAGGCTTCCTTCCGGGCTTCTTTGATTATGGGCTTTATTACTTCCAGCGGATCTTCGGCTGGTTCTTTCATCAATGGGCCTGTCTTATGAGAGCTTGGTTCGGGTCCAGGTCAATTACCAGGCCCATTACTCATCATGTGGGCTGAATCCAGCCCGTGCCGCTTTTGGTATCCTCAGGTGCACATCAGATTTTTTACATGGGAAAACCCCCTTTCCGGCGGGCGGGCGGGGGGCCTAAAAAACTACATGATCTAGTCCGGCAAATTAATCCACTATGATGACAGAGATGTACCACCTAAGTCGCAGTTCAGTGCCCTCGGACCCTTAGTTGATCCCTAGACACTGCACCACACTGAATCTTCAGCCTTTCGAAGATCTCTAGGTCGTCCTTCTGATCTGTCTACAGCATTCAGTACACTCAATACTGCTTGTTCAAAGTATTAATATTCAGCGACTAGTTTGTCCACCTCGATAATCTGGATGATTGCTTTGCACAATGTTGATGTAAACTTGTGTAGCACAACATCAATAGTATCAACACCAAATATATATCATCTACTCACCAAAACTAATGGGTATGATGAATGATGAAAAACAAATAAAGCTTGCACTCAATTTAAATTATCATCTCACGAGAATAAACTCACAATTATATGAATACGAAAAACATAAGAGTTTTCTTATGGAAAAAGAAAAAACAAATCTTTAATGCAAAGCTCTCAAAAAATTTTTTTGAATAAACGAATAAGTCTCTATGTTTTTCTTGGCCACTATGCACTTACTAAGGTTTCTAAGGACACTAGTATTTGCAGGCAATTCATCTAAAACGGTCCAAAACGAATTAGGTATCAAATTTCTTGTAAAACACGTTTTGGGAATATTTTGTCTGCATGTACATCGATCGATAACTGGGCATGCCTTGATCAATCAAAAGATGAGCCTCCTATCGATTGAAACCTCACTGATGTGCCATCGATTGATACCTCCTTAGGGTCAATCGATCGGGACTCCATTAAACTTAGATCGATAATTATAATTATGCATGCATGGTTTGTAAAACTTTTCTTAATGCTCAAGTAAGTTTAGTAAACTTTGAAACTTGACCAATTAAACATGTATGCATGAACCTATAATGGTAAGAGTGAATATTGGTGTGAATTTACCTTTTGACAAATTTGGCATCTTTATCCTTTATTGAATCTTTTTTCACCAAGAGTAGACTCTACACTCAACACTGACAACTCACACTCACTAAAAATAATATAAATTACATTGAGTGTGTTTTGTTCTACGAAATTTACCAACCTAGTTTTATGAACCTAACAAGTTCAGCAATAAACTCCAGCCAAATTATAGGTATTTTGCTCCTTTGCTGGACAAGGTAGGTTGTCAATCTTATTGTTAGAAGATACTACTAATATAGAGAACCAACTCTATACAGAACTTACCCTAGCTGTGTTTTACCCAGTTCCACCCAACACTATGCATGGTGCCTTAGAATCACTGTGTATCTAATTGAACTTAAAAACACAATAAAACTACATGAACTAACTTATAAATAAATAATATAAAACAAAAAAAATGACACGGCCATGGCCTTAGAGTTATATCTAAAGAGACTTACTTGATGCAACATGAATGATTCTCCATAGATGGAGATTTCTACATAATTCATTCCAAACAACTGCTCCAGCTTTCCACAAGAACAGCGGAAAATTTTTCTAAAATGCGAAGCACTAATTCTATCTTTCTCATCAGGTTCATGAAGCCATCTAGCAAGGATGCCCACTAGAGGATTCATATCCTTGAATCCATTCCGGTGCCCATCCGAAGTTCCAACTAGCTGTCTGTCAGAAACATTGGATTCTGAAGGATTACAATTCTTTCCCTCAACTTCTGATACAGCCACTTTATCTTCCCCAAGAGTTTCTTCTCCATCACTTTCCTCAAACTCAGATTCTGATGCCTGACTAGATAATCTTGCCTTTTGAGATACACGACCATTTTTAGGAGACCCTTTTGCAGAAAACTGTTTCCTATACTTGGATCGTATAGTATAATTGTGGAAAGGATGTTCTCCCTGCAACAGCATTTGTAAACATAAAAATGAGTAGACAGATGATATCCCACAAACAAATACATAGATCCTATCTATCACATATGAAGACCATGAAATATCAGTAAGCACAGTGAAAAGTATCCATTTCTTGGTGCAATTGTTTTTTTTTTCTTAATTGGTACTCACACACATATGCCTCCACCGAGGCTCAAACCCCTAACCTCCCTTTGGGAAGTAGGAACCTGGTACCACTAGGCCACTAGCCTGTTGGTTTCTTGGTGCAATTGCTAAAACTCGGTTTGTCAAGCATGAAAGTGCAGGTGCAAGTTAGAGGACAACCACTTCATGCTCATAAAGGAGACCTTAAGGCCTACACCCAGACCACTTCTCCCAACACCACGGACTACAGTGAAGAAATCCTACCTTTTGACTGGTACCTTTAGAACTGAGTAAAAGAAAACCTAAATCAAAATGAGCTTCATAGAAATGATCAAAGCAAAAAAATCTATTCCTCATCCCACCCATCTATACAACAGTAATTTTACTAACATGCTTGCATGACAAATGCACCTATAAGACCCCTTAGAATATGCCGAACATGTGGCAGATAAAGATTTATACAATCTTTTACTAATATGCTTGCACGACAAATGCACCAAAAAGACCCCTTACAGAAAATGTGGCAGTTAGAGGTTCATAAAGCATCTCCTTACCAGAAAAGTAAGCTGCCTAGGTACCAACTATTTTGCTCAAACAGAAAAACATACCTCAAAAACATTCAATATATGATTGAATTCCGATAGATGATAATTGATTTCAGATGAACTTGAGTTTGTTTTTATTCCAATAACTTTAGCAGGAAGGAGGTAAGTGTACTTGCGAATGTTACATTCCCTTCTAGCATCAAAGCTTCTGAAACAGCCAACCAAAGAAAGGAATTAGGATATAGTGGGAGAACGGAATTGGAATATTATACAGAACTAAATGCATGGGCAATCACTTATAATGGAAAAAAGTTAGATTGTTCCATATTCTTTCAGAAGACAGTGAAGGAAAATGAATAAAACAATAATCTTGATCACCAGCATGAATCAGACAAAAATCATGGAACAATTGCAAGAATGAGACCTTCTTGTAGCTTCGCTAACATCAAGCAAGTTCAACTTTTCTTTTTTAGGTAAATGAAATCCGTAGAACTCAATTTACCTTTGATTTAATTGGAAAACCAATAATGCTACAATATAAAAATCATTCTCAGAACTATTATTATAAGAGTACTTCTTTATCCCCCCACACCCCCCCCCCCCCCCCCCCCCCCCCCCACCACCTCCTACTGGGCTGTGTCAGGAAATAGTCTGGTTAAATACCCACAATTCACAACAAATGACAAGCTAAAATTAAGATAAATATATGGCAGATAAAATCAAGAGCATAATACATACTTCTTGTGAGTTCATCAATAGAAATTGAGAAAGTTCTTCTTTATATGGATGGGATCTTACCTTTGTGATGGTAAAATGCTGAAAACTCTGATATTCTGAGGAAGATAAGAGTTGACAAAATTTGCAAGGGCAATGCCATTGGGGTCCTCCTTCCATGCACTTTCAGGAATTTCCATTTTTAAGGATATCATAGTTGCCAGAGAATGAACCTAGAATATATTACCAACATATAAGATTAGCACATTATAGCACATGGACACAAAATATAAAAGAACCACAAGGTCAAGCAATATAAGCAACAAAAATGGTTGGTCACTGACTTACTCCTTTATCAGTTCTGCTACTTCTGGCCCACCCAATTTTGTGCAAATTCCCAAAATTACTATCACGAATTCCACCAGCTTTAAAAATGGCGGTTTCCAATTCTCCTTCAATAGCTACACTAGAAAATCGTATTTTTAGCAAATTCTGGTTCATGCTACCTAGGCTCTTGAAATATGTTTTGTAAACAATCTTTTTGCTATATTTAGAAGGCAGAGAAAACAAACAAAAGATCACATATACTGCCTTCTGTCCGAAAACCACAAATAACTTGTTAAACAAACTTCCAACTTTCTAAGCAATATTTCCTTTAAATTCCATGTTTCAACAATGAGAATCAATAAAGGGGACGTCTTTGAATTCCTAATTGAGAATAGAATGTGAATATAGTAATACAAAGTTACAGACATGAAATACAAAAGATATGAACTTTATAACTAAAGTAAATGGCAAATAACAGACAGACAACCATAAGGCCATTCAGCCAGATACACATTCGCATTGAACATTATGTACACCAAATCATTTCAGATCAATGAAAGGAACAGAGGAATATGAATCAACATAATTTATGATGATTTGAAGAGGGAAACACACAATACAACATGGAAAATCATTTTCAACATACAAAATATGAAACCCAGCAAAATAATAATGATAATAATAATAATAATAATAACAACAACAACAACAACAACAACAACAACAACAACAACAACAACTTAGGTAAATTGAATTTTCAGATAAATGGGTTTAACCTCATATTCCATACTGTAAAAAATAAATAAAATAAAATAAATGTCTTACTGGAAAGTGAGTGTTCATCTCTTTGCATCTGCAGACCTGAAAATATGGGATAGTTAGAAGAAAATAGAAACTTTTACACAATTAAAGGTAAAAATAAACTCTTTAAATCTGTTAATTCACACATATGCATCAATATTTGTAATGGGTGTTGAAAAATGAACCTCTATAATCGGTACCCACATATCCTACGCGCATTACAACTTTCTTTTTATGAAACGATTCCCATTTCTCACCGCTGAGATGGGCCGTATGGTTTGGAATTGGAGGTGAAGGAGCTAAGGTTTGTGTAGTAGTGACCGAAGAAGAAGAAGAAGAAGAAGAAGATTGTGACGAAGAAGTTGAAAAGGAAACTAGTCTAATTAGGGTTTTTGGATATGAGAATCGGAGGCTTGGAATTGGAGAGAGGGGAAATCGAAGAGAAGAGACGGCCATTGCAACGTTGTGTGCAGACCCAACTGAGAGTATGATCGGCTATCTAGTCTCTCTTCACTGGTTTAGAAATTGGGATATTACCCGACCCGTTGGTATAGTCCGGAATCCGGGTACACTCGAATCTGTTCAAATCATCCATTCAATCCAAACAATTATTCGTTAGGACTAGGGATGTCAATTTTTACCGCCCCGCCAGGGCCTCGCCCTGTCCCGCCCCGTTAATAACGGATATGGGAACACTTTTTATGCTGTTGGGACAGACATGGATATAAATTTTGTACCCGTCGAAGGTCACGGGGCGAGTAAGGGTTCATTATACATATCCTAAGGGCCCGGCGCCGTCCTGCATATAACTATATTTTATATATATATATATATATATATATATAAAAGTTATTTTAGCGGCTTACCCAATTACCCATATCTTACAATCCTAATTTGGGATGTAAGATTGATATTAAATTTGCTTTTGTTTTGGTTATGGTGGAAGTTGGAGTTTAAACTTATTGTGATTTAGTTATATTAAACTTTTTTTTTTTTGTTTATTATATTCTCTGAATTATGTTATGTGCATTTTTTTTTTTTTTTTTGTTGGGATACATAATTTTATTTATGTTGTGCCATTCATAGGCTTTGCACATTTAAATAGTAGGAGTTTAAGTTCCAAAAAGTAGGAGAAAAAAATTTGTTAGTGGGGTGGGCACGGGGGCATAGTATTTCCTAACAGGGCGGGGCTGGACATGAAAATCCAACCCGTCGCGTGTCTCGGGGCGGGCATGGACTTGACAAAAATTAAAAGGGGCGGGGCGGGATTTAGGGAAACTCGCTCCAAACCCGCCCCGTTGCCATCCCTAGTTGGGATTAGTGACCGCTAGCGAGAATTCCACTGGTGAAGAGAATTGAGAATTCGGATAAGGTAGATTTAAGTCAGGCGGCCCGCTAGAGTCTTAAGTCACTTAGGCGATTTCTGAGGCTCCATCCAATAAGAAAGTGTTAAAATTTTAAAATTTTCTTATATTAGGTTATGCTATAATTATTTCCTAATATTACTGAACTCTAATAAATATTAAAAAAATTTATATTAGGCCGCAAAAATTTACCCTAAAATAAATTTTTTTAATTTTTTTTTTTTTTTGGTCTCTCCCCCATCCGTTATTTTATATCAAGCTTTAAATATTTATATTCTAAAATAACTTATTTTTTTTCTTTTATCGCTTTCTTCATTCATTCCAATTTTATATTAGGCCTCAAATATTTATATCATAAAATAACTTCTTTTTTTTTCTTCTTTTTTCTCTCCTCTCACGTTCCGTTGAACTCTAATTGATACATAAATTTAATATTGGGTCTTTGTATCATTAAATAGTTTTTTTTTTCTCTTTTTCTTTCTCCTCATTCATGTTTTTTCCACTAACAATAAAAATATTTTTGGATAAGTTGCACCAATAGTAAAATATTAAATATCTATTTAATGTTGTTGTTTGGGAAAATGACGAAAACTTTCCATAATCTTTTTTTTCTATGTTTTATCTTTTTCTTTTCCCTCTTTTTTTCTCCTCATTCATGTTTTTTACACTAGCACTAAAAATATTTTTGGGTAAGTTACACCAATAGTAAAATATTAAATATATATTTAACGTTGTTGTTTGAGAAAATGGCGAAAACTTTCCATAATCGTTTTTTATGTTTTATCTTTTTCTTTTTAACAAGTTTTCTTCTCCCCCTCTCATTACAAGTTTAATTATATTCTATTAAAAAAATTGTAAAAGTATTGGATTTGGATTTTCTAAACCAGATGCAATGGTTGTTTTTCTTTAATTATTTTTTTAATTTTATTAACTTTTGTTATTATAAATTTGTGTGTATATATATTTATATATTTTGTTTTTGAGTTGTGACTAATTTTATTTATATTATTGAAAAAGTCAATTTTTATTTTGCGCCTAAGGCCCCAAATTAGATTGAGCCGCCCCTGATTAATCAGGCTATGTCCATTTGATAGTCTCCCCAAGTGGTAGAATCAACAAAGGAGCTTCTCATTCGGTAGGGTTCCTAAGGGGTCTTGTTTTAGGGAGTTCTGGGTCAAAAATAATAATAATAATAATAATAATAATGATGGGTGGCTTGTGCAATCTGAGAGATACTGGACATACCTGTGTTGCGCTTGCATGTAGAGCTCCCACAATTGCACTATAGCCCCATGTAGAGCACAAAAGACCGGACATTCTAAATACTGTACATATTTGGAAGGAATTAATGGTGGGAAGCTTATTAGAGGCGAGGGGAATCCAAGGTCAATAATTTGGCATTTTTTGAATGTTTGTGGAGGAAATTTGTCGTTAGTTGACTGTTCTTTCTGTTGACTGATTGTGGGATATACGATGTTTCATTATATCATTAGAGACCATATTCTAAATTAACATCCATATCTTACTTGGATTGATAGGAGAAGTTAATTCATGTGCATTCAATGAAATGAATGTCTTTTAATTTTAACCTAAGAGTAACCAAGAATTGACGTGGTATATTTAGATGTACTTGTTTGTTTCTTTCCCATTTTTCCTTCTATTATTGTTTTACTTATTTTCTACATTCTGATTTAAGTTCAATTAAACAATATTTAAGTTGGACAGATATATTCTAATTGTTTATGCTTGTTCAAATGGTTATATTTTTTTGAGTTAAACATTATTATAAAGTAAATATTTACACATAATTTGTAGGGTGAATTGGTTTTTTTGGTCAATTCTTCAAATTTTTGTTTTTAAAATTTTTTTTCTAAACAAAAATAAAGAATCGAGTTCTATCTAAATTTTATTTGTCATATAAAATATTTATTTCATCACGGCGCATGTGAATTTTCCTATTAATAAATAAATAAACTATAAAAGAAAATTTTGAATGATACTTCTTTATTTTGGTGTATGATTTTTAGAATAAATACTCATAATTATATATATCATTATTTTGAAAAATACTATTAAAAAAGTAAGGAGAATAATATACACACGTGTGTTTGTATATGATATTGTTATTCCATTGTAACCGAAATTAAAGTTATACATAAATAAATAAATATCATGTCTTAATTTTAACACCAGTCACATAAATATTAATAAAATAATATTCTAATTTTTGTTGGCACATTATCTTTTTTTTCTTGTTACCCAAAAACCAACCAATAAAAGTCATATGTTACACCTCTTTTAATTTAATGGGCCGGGCCAGGCACCTACCATCCAATCCAGTAGACTAAGCTGAACAGCCCAGTACATACAATGTATTATAAACCCGAAGCAGTATACGTTAGATATCCGACGTGGGATACGAGTAAAATACAATATGTCTGCATCGAAACCCTAACCGGCCAAGACGTGGTTGAGTCCATCGGAGGGATTTCCAAGACATCTTCCCCGCCGTTGGTTGTCTCGGGCCGATCCGGTCGCCGACCGTTCCACGACAACACCTTCAATTTCGAGTTTTCCAGCTGAGTTAGCTTCCCAAGTATGGATTCTTCGTCCACACATTGTCCAAAATGCCTGTACAGTCTCAATTCATTGCTTGATTTGTTCAGTTCTTGAAGATGGAAAATGAAATTGTTGGCCATGGCAAGGAAAAAAAAGCAACCTTGAATGCTTGTAAGAATTTTTTATTTTTGTTCTCTTACTCAAACTTTTCGATTTCCCCGCCTGCAAATAGGAATTCAATTACATTTTCTAATAGTGTTTGATAAATATTTACTAGATTTGTTGATGTTGGTAGTGAAAATTCATTTCAATTTTAGTTCCTTCATATCATATTTTCATTTGGAAAAGCCATCTTCTGTGATCTCTCTCCATGTTCTCACTGCCGTATCTATATTTAAAAATTCCTTAAATCATGCATTAATGTAGGTTTTAAGTATAGGGTATTGGTTCTGAGTTCAGAATCTTAAAGAGCTCATATCAATGCCATTTGGGTTTAGTATTCATTCATGTTCGAACTTCGAAGAAGAACTTGATTTGAAATGAAAAATCAACACCGTGCTTGAGAGTTGTAAGTGTTCATATTATGCCATTTGGGTTTTGTACTCATTTCTATATACAAAAGGGGTGATTATTCAAATTTGTTGTGTGTAATCTACAAATTTTATAAAATTATGTCTCGAATTTATTCAAGTTAGTGAAATTGGCTTTTAAATTAGTGCTTGATATAATTTAGGTCTTAGGATTTATTCAGATCTGGAAAAAGGGTGACCAGTATCCAATAAAATTCTCAGCCTGATGAGGAGGCAAGTTTTTTGTTAACTATTTTAAAGCCCTAATCATCATCTATTCAACTGCCTTTCATGTACCTTTCCTCTCTTCTAATTTGTTAGACCGTGTTATAGGGTCAAAAAAGTCTCATTTTGTTTTATCTAGCATTTAAAGCACCATTTCTTAAACAAAATTGGGATGATAGAAAATAAAAGAAACCATAATGAAAGATTTTTCTTTTTCTTTGAAGGTAAAAGATGTTGAGAATTTCATTTTTTGACATATTAGAATGTTGCTACACATTAAAAACCTATAAATTGCTAATCAATTTTATTTCCAATTCCATGCATAAAACAGTGGAATGATTTTATAAATATGGGCATAAAACAGTGGAATGATTTTATAAATATGGGCATCAAACCTTTCACTTGGCTCTCAATCTGCCAAGTGTAGAGCTATATTTGATGATGGTTTTAGATGGAGAAAGTATGGGCAGAAGGTGTTTAAGGGAAATCCAAATCCTAGGTAAAAAGCTTGCTTTGATTCAACTTTATTTTCTAATTTGGAAAAGTCATATAGTTTCAAATTTCTAATATTTTCCAAAAACATATTTAAATAGGGTTCAGTTTCTCCACTTCCAAACAAGCTTCCTTTATTATATCTATTGTAGTATATTGACCCTCCTTCATGGGAAACACACCATAATCTAGTGTTAATAACTTTGTGTTGGAAGATGTTATGTTTGTAGAATATCATTATATGAGTGATTTATGCCCTTAAATCGTTCCTTAACGGAATATTGATTTGAGTGAATCATGAGAGTGATTTTAGGAATCTTTCCTATATCATATTTATCACATGTTTGTATTCTTTCACATATAAATAGAGGGTGTCATTGTAAACAAAGATTAAGGAATAATATTATAAAAGTGTATAGCCCTTTGGGCTCTTTGTGCTGTGGATGTAGGCTCTAGTCATCTAGTGGCTGAACCACGTAATAACTTTGTGTTCTCCTATTTTCATTTTTCTCTTCACTTATGTTTTATCCTTTTCAACACTTTCTGAAGTTGATTCTATCCATTGCATATCCTAAACTTACTTTGTGAATTGTCTGAAAGATATGTGTTGAGATATAAGACTCTAGTTAGAGAAGGGCTGAGTTTGGGTTGGCTTGTGACTGGTTGAGTCATATAGTGGTGTGGGCAAACACTAAACTTGTGTAGTTCTCTATTTCTCTCTTCAAACCATATTTTGGTGTTGTTTTGTAATTTAATTTTAAATTCTCAACTCACTGTCTAATCTTATGCTTTGTTTATTACTCAAAGGAGTTACTGTAAGTGCGCAAATCCTGGATGTCCGGTGAGGAAGCACGTGGGTGGAGCTTATAAATGTACTATTCTAACTCTTGTTTTTTAGTGACAAACTTATAGGGATCTCAAAAGGGTGGGTTTGGGATAGGGCATCCCTATCCCCAAATCAGTTCCGCAAATAAAAAGTTCTTTCCAAACCCACCCCGCCCCGCCCCATATCAGAGTCGGTGTGGGTTTGGGGGCCTACGTATAAATTTTTCTTAACAAACATAATAAAAAAAAAAAAGTTGTTGAACTTTAAAACTATATTAAAATGAAGGAAAAAGAAAAACTATAACTAATAAAAGAATATTTATAATATAAATCTGCTATACTTGTTGACACGTGACAATCAACCATGAGACGTGTGTGGGCACCATCACAGCAACCCACACTCACGTCTCTTAGTCGGTTGTCGCGTGTCGACAAGTTTAGAGTTTTCCTTTATATACTCATTATTAATTAGGGCAGGTTTGGACTTTAGGGGTTTTAAACCCTCTTTCCAAACCCCATCCCTAATCCTATTAGGATGATCCCAAACCCACCCCAATAGGGGCAACAGGGTAGGGCCCCGGTGGGATGGGTTAATTTGACATCCCTATAAACTTGAGAGCTCAACCTTTATTTTCTCCTTTGTTGTCATTGATCTCTCTCAAAATTTAGGTACTAACATTCATATTTCAAATATGAATGTTAGTTAAAGATGAATGTTAGTAATTAAATTTTTTGAGAGTTTGAAAAGCAATGTGACTTCAGTTGATTCGGAAATGGCACGATCTTTGGCGCAAGAACAAGTGGTTGATCTATATCATCTTGGCTTGGTTTTGCTTCTTCTATTTTTTTAAGAATACCGATTCGAGTTATTTTCTTACTTGTATCGAATAGAACATGATGAGCCAAATGTTCTGCATGTAAAACCTGCCTGATTTAGATCTGGAAAATCGTGCAGTTTTATGAAACCATATGCTATGACTCGTATTCATAGTCAATCCTATTTCTGATAGGTGCTGTTGACAATTGAATCCGATTTTTCCCATAATTTTTATCTGTAATAGTGGTGTGCCAAGAACACAAATCATGAAAAGAGGATAGCTATAATAAGTAAATATAAGTTTTCAGAACACATATCACATAATAATCTTCCACCTCACTTGTGCTTATAGCTTATTTCTCCATGATAAATGCTCTTGTAAGTCGCATTCTCCTTCCTTCCCCCTTCTCTCTCTCCATCATGACCAACCTAATGGCTCTTTCAGTCCCTTTAATAATAGCTAATATTTTGATTTGGTAAGTGAAACTCACTAAAAAGCATCAAAATGTGGCAAAACCCTATTACGTTAAAAGCACACAAGAATGATGCCTGGAGGAAAGAAACTCAAAGCCTACTCCATTAGTCATTATCAAGCTTCATTTGTATTATATTTGTGGTGACTGATTTTTTCTATCATCTGTTCTTATGCTACCTAGAATTCCACCAGACGAGAATTGAGAATCCGGCCGGATAATGTAGATCAAACTCAGCCTATATCCGTTTGATAGTTTCCCAAGAGGTACGTGATGAGCAACCCACCCTTCTCTTGAAAAAACGTGTTTCTGGTTAGTACTTGGTAGGCCTGCTATTGACTGAACCATTCTCAATTTGTTTAAAGGCCAGTATTCCATTACAGGAGTTAACATATGTATTTCATTTGCCAGGCAATCTATGCGTCTCGGGTGGAATCAACAAAGGAACCTCTTTTGCACGGATTATCTGGAGTTGCTCATCATCTGCAACTTCAAGAAAATGTGTTGTTCTTGAACTTCTTACAAGTGTTCCAGAAAAATGGAGATTGTAAAATAAATTCTTATTATGAAAATAGTAACTCGTTTTATGATGTATAGGCATCAAACCTTTCACTTGGCTCTCAATCTGCTATGTTTTATGTGAATTGCAGAAATAGAGCTTAGTTGACAAGAAATAGAGCTATTAGTTAACCCAACTTAGGATTGTGTTGTCTGAAAGATATGCATTGAGCTTTAGGACTCTAGTTGGCTGAGTTTGGGTTGGCTTGTGACCAGTTGAGTCATATGGTGGTGTAGGCAAACACTAAACTTGTTTAGTTCTATATTTCTCTATTCAATCCATATTTTGGTGGTGTTTTGTAATTTAATTTTAAATTCTCAATATGATGTTTTCACTGTTTAATCTTATGATTTGTTTATTACTCACAGTAGTTACTACAAGTGCACGAATCCTGGATGTCCGGTCAGGAAGCACGTAGATCGTAGATAGAGCATTGCATGATCTAAGGTCAGTGATAACAACCTATGAGGGGAAGCACAACCATGATGGCCCTACACCATGTGGTAGTGGCAGCCATTCCATCAATAGGCCTTTTTCCAACAACAATAATGCAGGCATGAAGATAAGGCCTTCTGGCATGACGCATGATCGCTCTGATGAGTCGGTGATCGACCCAATTCACACTTTTAGGCTGCCAACTTTTGAAAGCCAAGCACCCTTCACGTTAGAGATGTTGCAGAGCCCTGGGAGCTTTGGGTTCTCAGGGTTGGTTTGGAAGCTTGTAGACAACTGAAGGTAAAAACACACTATTTGAATATGCTAATTCACACATATGCAACCAATATTGGTATATGATGTTGATACACAATCCTCTATAATCGGTACCCACATATCCTACACGCAATACAACTTTCTTTTCATGGAACGATTCCCATTTCTCACCGTTGAGATGGACATCGCAACTTTGGGTTGTGGTGGACGGAGAAGAAGATGGTGATGAAGAAGAGGAAAAGAAAGAGTAAACTAGTCTTTAATAAATTGAAAATCTTGTGGTGTGCGTTGCAATGGCATAACCCTTGGGGTGCATTTTGGCTCTCGCAGTAGCTGTCAACCTCTGGAAGTCACTAAGTCTGCTGGCACCAGTAAGCTCTCTCTCTCTATATATATATGTAATTAATTAACTTGTTGATTTCTCATTTAAGTTTTTTTTTCCCCCACTCATGTAAGTACAATATGTAGGATCAGTACTAATTAAGTATTTATATATAATAATTACATGTATACACCTATGTATTATTGAATTGAAAACCAAAATTAATTATATTGGGTGCAGCCATACTTTCCAGTACCAAAGGGTGAAGAAGCCACACAGCATGCGATGAAAAGAGTAGCCCAAGGCGGTGTGACCAGTTATTGCTTTTGGCATGCCCATTACTTATAAATTGACTATTTTAACTCTTGTTTTTGAGTCGAAAACTTGTAGGGATGTCGATGGGGTGGGTTTGGGATAGGGGTGTCTCGGGAATAAAAAGTTTTTCCCAAACTCATCCCACCCCCACATTGAAGTCGAGGAGGGTCTCGGGGATACCGGTATACATATTTTTTAAGAAAAACAATTCAAAGCAAATCTAAGATAAATTCTTTAAGAATAAATTAAGTATATACAAGTACTTAAAAATCATAATAACAAAAAAAGAAAAAAAAAAGTTAAACTTCAAAACTATCATTAAAATGAAGGAAAAAGAAAAACTATAACTAATAAAACGATGTTTATTTATATATTTATTATTAATTAGGGCGAGTTCGGGGCTATGCGGATTTTAAACTTTCTTTCCAAACACATCCCTAGCCTTGTTAGGATGATCCCAAACCCGCCCCAATAGGGGCAGGACGGGAAAGACCCCAACAGCACGGGTTAAATTGACATCCCTATAAACTCTAGAGCTCGATCTCTGTTTCCTCCTCTGTTCAAAATATGAATGTTAGTGCCTGAATCCGGAATATAAATGTCAGTACTTGAAGTTTAAGAGAGATTGAAGGAGGCAATGAAGAGAGAACGGAGAAGAAATAGAGGTCTTGAAATAGAGGTCTTTGTTCACAGTATGGGAAGGTGACGAGACTCATCCTGTTGACATCTCTACAAGTTTATCACTCAAGAACAAGAGTTAGAATAATCAATTTATAAGCATAATTATAATTAACTTGAAGGCACTAATGGATGAAGCATCCCCCTTTCTCGGCTCTTGTTGTAGCTTGCCATGACAACCGAAAATATAAGCAACTTCAAGGTACTATAATTATGCTTATAAATTTACAATTCTAGCTTTTGTTTTTTAGTGATAAACTTGGGTGGGTTCGGGATAGGAAAACCCTATCCCCAAACGGGTTATACAAATAAAAAGTACTTAAACCCGCTCTGCGCCATATTGGAGTGGGGTGGGTTCGGGGGCTTACGTATACATATTTTTTAAGAAAAATGATTCAAACATAAAAAAATTTATGATAATTTTTTAAAAAATAAATTAAGTATAAATAAATTCTTAACAGGCATAGTAACAAAAAAGTTGAACTTCATTAAAATGAAAAACTATAACTAATAAAAGGATGTTTATTTATATATAAATTTTGTTATACTTACCGACACGCGACAACCGACCATGAGACATGGGTGTGGACTTCACCATAGCAGCCCACACTCACGTCTCTTAGCCGGTTGTCACGTGTCGAGAAGTTTAGAGTTTTTCTTTATATATTTAATTAGGGCAGGTTCGGGTCTTTGTGGGTTTTAAACCCTCTTTTCAAACTCTATCGTAACCCTATTAAGATGATCCCAAACCCACCCCAATAGGGGCGACCAGGTAGGGCCCAGGGGGGACGGGTTAAATTGACTTCCCTATAAACTCAAGAGCTCAACCTCTATTTTTTCCTCTGTTCTCTCATCAATTTCTCTCAAAATCCAGGTACTAACATTCATATTGAATATTAGAACTGAATTTTGTAAGAGAATGAAAAGCAATGTGACTACAGTTCATTTGGAAATGGCACGATCTTTGGCACAAGAACAAGGGGTCGATCTGTATCATCTTGACTTGGTTTTGCTTCCTCTATTTTTCTAAGAATTCCAATTCGAGTTCTCCTCATACTCTAAGAATTCCGATTCGAGTTCTCCTCTTATCGCATTGAATAGTACATGACGAGCCAAATATTCTCCATGTAAAACCTGCTTGAATTAGATTTGAAAAATCATGCTGTTTTATGAAACCTTGTTTTACGGCTCGAATTCGTAGTCAATCCTATTTCTGATAGGTACAGTGGATAATTGAATCCGATAATATCCATAATAGTTGTGTCTACAAGGGCACAAATCGTGAAAAGTCATGACCAACCTAGTGATTCTTTCCGCCCCTTTAATGTCAGGTAATATTACCGTTTTGTTAAGTAAAACTCACCAAAAAGCATCAAAGTGGGGCAAACTCCAATTACGTTAAAAGCACACAAGAACGATGCCTTCAGGAAAGAAACTAAAAGCCTACCCCATCATTCATGTCATCTAAAAAGTCTAAAATAGAATCTCTTGTAATCAAACTACACAATTAACTCAAAGGTCGTTCAATGAGAGACTTTATTTTATAACAATGATAATTCCTTAGCTGTTTGCATCAGGTAGAAAAGAAGAGTCATCCCCATGTCAGAGAGAATAAAACAAAAAACTAACTCGGCTTTTACTTGCCAAATGGAAGAATTTCATGGATAATTTCAAGTTTCATTTGTATTATATTTGTGTTGACTGATTTTTTCTATCATCTATTCTTATTCTTGCCGGAATTCCCCTAGTCATGAGAATTGAGAATCTAGATAATGTAGGTCTAACTCGGCCCATATCCATTTGATAGTTTCCCCAAGTGGTACGCAATGAGCAAGTCCTTCTCGTGAAAAAAACGTGTTCCTGGGTAATAGGCTCTGCTTTATACTGATTCATTCTCAATTTCTTTGAAGGCCAGTATTCCAGAGTTAACATATCTTCTTCATTTAATAGGGGCAATCTGTCTCTCAGGTGGAATCAACAAAGGAGCCTCTCATGCTTGGATTATCCGTGGAAACAGACTCTTTATCTGGAGTTTCTCATCATCTGCACCTTCAAGAAAATGTGTTGGTCTCGAACTTCCTACAAGTGTTCCAAAAAACGGAGATATTAGAACAAATTCTTATTATGAAATAGTAGCTCGTTTTGTGTTGTCAGTTGAGATAACACACAAGAACACAAACGAAGTTGTGCAACTCTTCTGATATTGTTGTGTTTTTTGAAAACTAGAGCTGTTGTATACTGACCAGAGATCTATTCAGAAGGTGGGACTACTTTGTTGATGAGTCTCTGCATCAACTAGTGAATAAGAGTTTGAGTTTTTTACCTGGTGATGGGAAGACCATGCCTAACCAGCTGTGGCTGCGTAGCAGACCGATTGTGGGATTTACAATGTTTTGTTATTAACATTTCTCTTGATTTTAATGTACCAATGCTTTGGACTCGTGAAATTATTGTAACTGATGGTGATTTGGGTTTCAACAGAGAAAGTTCCGTTATAACTTCTCTAGATGTTTCATGATCAAGACAAGAATTTGAAATAGGTCAAGGTAGTAGGTGTTACAAGGGGTATTTGTCCCACATCCAATCTAGATGGAGATTGAATGGGGTATAAAGGGAGAAGTATGTATTACTACAAAACAATTTAAGTTTTTAAATAAATGGGTAAGCGTTCATCCGTTACAGTCGATATCAAAGTCAGATCCAGTTCTTAATCCGGTGTTACGCCAAATGTCCGGTTCGGAAGACGTCCAGTTGAGCCACTCAAGTAAGCAGGGTGGTCCAACCGCAACGAGAGCGTTCTGAGTTTGAGTGAGAGAGAATGTTATAGGAGATAATTATCCCACATCGGATCTGGATGAAAAGTAAAAATGGTATAAAGGGTATGTGTTCCACATAAAGTGAAGGGGCTATAAATAGGTGGGTCTGCAGTAGTACCCAACAGTTTAAGCTTTTGGATAAATGGACAAACTCTCACCCATTATAGTAGGCATACACACCTTATATCCATTAAAAAAAAATAAAAAAAATATATATAAAATTCCAATATAAAATTATTTACTCAATATAGTATCTCATTTTATCAAATTTAGATGTTCTTCAGTTTTTTTTCAAAAAACTATATGAAAATAGAAGGCAAAATCAATAAATTAAAAATTAGAATGTGAATTTTAGGAATTATGTGGTGATTTTTTATCCTGTTATTTCATGTAAAAAATAATAATAATAAAGAGAAATAAAATATATATATATATATATATATATATATAAATTCAGCATAAGAAGCAATGGTAAATAATGTACTCATACTAATGCACATGAATAACATATTGAATCTTTAAGAGTTGATTATGTATAGAGAGATTGTGATCACACCTTGGATAATGTATAAAATGAGAAATTATGTTACGAGTGTAGACGCAAGTCACCTACTAGAACGGAAGTTAAATATAGTGATAAACACACATGCTGTGATATTGGTCGCCAAAGAATTTGGAAGGTTAGTAATATAGGCAATCTCTCGTTAATTAGAAATAATAATAAGTTTATAAAATTAAAAATAAGTAATAGGCAATAGAATTTAAATTTTATATCTATCTATTCCTATTAATTAAAAATAAAAAAAAATAAAAAAGAGTATATATATATAGATATAAAGTGTCAATCATTAAATGATAGTAATAGACAAGATGAATCAAGTCATTTGTGGTAATTTTTAATGAAATTATGGATATAGTGTTGTAAATTTATATATCATCCATCTTTGGAGATATAAATATATAAATAAAAGAACATAATAAGGTAAAATTGATGTGCATGCTATTACTTGGTTAGGCTAAATTTTCTTGAGAGGGCCAAAAACTAATAATAATAAATAACTAAATAAAATGATAAAAGAAAATTTTGAATGATATGCTCAGTTTTCTTTATCTTGGTGTATGATTTTTAGAATAGATATTCATGATTATATATACATTATTGTTTTGAAGAATATTATTAAAAAAAGTAAGGGGAATAATATATATCATGTCATGTAAAATGTGATTAAACGACAACAATATAGAGCTTCGCATGCATTATCAATGCTTGAAGAAAGGCAACATATACATGCATACGTGTGTGTTCTCACACACACACATCGTAAGTGTGTGTTTGTACATGATATTGTTATTGCAACCCAAATTAAAGTTATACATAAATAAATAAAAGTTTGTATATGATCTTGTTATTCCATTGCAACCCAAATTAAAGTTATACAGAAAAGTTTTGTTAGCATACTATCATGATACTAGTTGATTTTAGAATAAAAAATGCACTATTGAGCATAGATAGAGTTAACTTTAATTCAAAAAAAGATATGAAAAATTGGATTGAATAAAAACTAATATTCATTAGCCTAAAAAAACATAAATAAAAGCTTAAACTATTAAAGTTAACTTTAATTCAAAAATAAAAAATGAAAAATGAGAAATTGGATTGTATAAAAACTAATTCATTAGCCTAAAAAATTTAAGGGTAAATTGCACTCACGCCTCCTGAGGTTTAGGTCAACACACTAGTTTACATTGACACTCATGAGGTTTCAAGAGTCATATTTACCCCTAAACATGTTAATTGACAAAAATAACCCTATACATTTTATTCTGTAATCCCCACACCCACCACCGCCACACCCATACACTGCCATAGCCACACACCACCACCACCACCACCACAACCACAGCAACACCCACACAATGCAACCACCACCCACCGCCACCACATCAAACACGCCATACACCACCCACACAACGTAGCACCCACCGCCACATCAAACACGCCGCCTCTGGGTCAAAGAAGACACCACCACAACCACACACCACACACCGCAACCACCACACACGCCGCCACATCAAATACGCCATACACCACACACACACCGCCGCACCCACACAACCCTGCCACATCAAACACATCGCCTCCAGGTCAAAGAAAACAATCGGTTACACCCACACACCCCACCACCACAACCACGATCATACCCACACACCACCAATGACGAGCTCGAATCCATGAGCACCGGCGTCGCCATCTTTGACTCACTGATCCAACCCACTGATGAGCGCTTGAAAGTGCGCATTTATACCCCTAAAGCTCGAGTGTTTTAGGACCTTTATTTATCTTACTTTCCCATTTTAGACTAATTTTATGGTATTACCCTTTTCAGGCACTTATCCCCAAAATAAGCTAATTCAGCCAAATTAAAGCATAAAAGAAGCAATCTCAAGCTAAATTGAAGAATGGAGCAAAGTAGAAGCAAAGTGGTGGAAATCTGCAAACTTTGATCGATCAGGAATATTTTCGATCGATCTCACATTGATCGATCTAGCCATTTCAAGATGGATTCAAGCCTTTGTCCTTATTCAAAAGATTTTACCATCTTCGATCGATCCAACTTTTCTTAGATCGATCGAAATTGTTTGATCTTATCCTTACCTACCACCCCACCTAGAGACTAGAGAGAGCTTTACACATTTTGGGAGTTCTTCCATTCTTCTAGGGTTTCCATCAAGAAGGAGGTCATTCCTATCACGGAGATAGCCCTTGAGGGTTGGATGACTACTTCAATGAGTGGCTAGACATCTACTTGGGGCTAGAGTAGCCCCTAAGTTTGCTTCCTAGACCTAGTGCTTTGTATATTTTTGGGGATTTACTTGTAACAAATGTTTTGATCTTGAATTTATATATATATATATATATATCTTGTGGTTTCTACTTGATGTGTATGGATTAATGCTTTCAATTGATTATCTATTTCTAATCATATGTCTATGTATGCTAGAATGGATGTTTCATGTGCTTTTATCTAGATTTAATGGAATTTATGCATGTCTATGTGTATGGATGAAGTTAATCTAGCGATGATCAAAACATAGTGCTTAATTGAATACTGTTGTAATTTATTTGATGGTTCACACTTGTTTTTTGATGGATTGTGCAACACCTTTAGCTTGCTTAGTTTAATTTCCATGTCTTTAGTGTAAATGTAATGTAATTGCTTTGGATTCATAGATAGGTGGACAATCTATTCTTGTTCATTGGTGTTCTATACTTATGAATGCAAATGGTGTATGTTTCTAGATAGTTGTGTGTGCATAAATTGTGATTTCAGTGAATAGATTTTGATCTCATTTGATAGGTTATGATTTCCATTTGAATTGGCTAGACAATCTATACTTATTTGCCATCCATGCCTAGTTTCAATTAATATCACACACATACACACACACACACACACACACAAGTTACAATTCAATTCCCCATTTATATACAATTGTTATTATTTAGTGAAGTCAAACTTAGTGATGAGCTCTAGTACCCCAAGTCTTCTCCTCAATATTTTTTTCTCTACTTTCTAAATTGTTACATTTTACTTGCTTTAATTTCAATTGCAGTGTAGTTTAATCAACCAAACAAACCATTTTTTGATCACTTGACCTACTAACCCTATATATTGTTTCCATTACAAACACGCCCATAATCCCTTGGGACGATCCCTACTCACCATAGCTATATTTTTAGTTAGAGGTAGTAGTGGCATTTATAAATTTAAAACTTGGCTACATTGCACATTCACATTCTTAGCACATTTTTAGGCTTTGGTCCGACGACCCACCACCAACCACAACCACTGATCCACCAAAACTGGCCGCCTCCAACTGGACCTTCTCCACCCACCACCTCCCACTTCTCCAGTGCCGCCACTGTCGTCCCAAAACACTGCAAATCCAATCTCTTTATAATCCTCCACATCATTTGTGACCATTGATTGTTGCCGGAGTCATATCTTTGCTGGGTTATTTTCAATCTGCATCTGTAGAGTCTCAAATAAACCCACCAAATCAAAACCCCTCAAACTACCCAAAAGGCAAACAGATCTTTAGAGAGAGATTGAGAAGTTGGTCTATTGTGGGGAAAGAGACGAATCTGAACCCACAAAGGCGTCGACAATAACTCTCAAGGATACGTGGTTGGGATCACTAACAATCGTCTTCGACCTTGCCTTCTTCCAATTTAGCATCCTGGCGAACCTCAGAAATTGACTCGTCTTTATACTCGTTGCATTAGTTTCGCCAATGAATTTTGATGGTCAATATTCTTATGGTGAAGGGCAGTGTATATATCCATCTTCAGGTGTGTGTATAATGTATATAGATAGTTGGGATGCAAATCAAAGAGGTTGGCGAGTTGGGTGTCGCCGCCTATACCTCTTCAAAAGAATCCCTCTGATTACATTTTGGTGATGCTAAGGATAAAGGGTGGGGATAGAGGGTGCAGATTTGAGAGAATGATGAAGGTTATTTTGGTTATTCAACATTAGTTTATAGGGTTATATTTGGCAATTTACACTTTTTATATATTTGTTGACCAAATCAAAGGGCTGAATGCTCATTTTCGGCTCTCAGAGGTTTAGAGGGGGTGTGTATGTATGCATTTGAAACCTCAAGGGGTGTCAACGTAAACTAGTGCGTTAATCGTCCGATGAGTGACTTTGAGCCAAACCTCAAGGGTTTTGAGTGCAAATTACCCAAAACTGAAAAAAAATACTTCAATTATTAGATGGTGTTGGGCACACACTCCCTCGCTAGGTACTTACCATCCAGTCCTATAACTCGAGCCATTCAACTTATTGCATACAAAGTTCTATAAACATAAAACAGTACACGGTCATATTCGATGTGGGACAATATACAATTCATCGGAGTGGTTGATTCCATCAGAAGAATTTCCGAGAAATCTTCCCGGCCATTGGTTGTCTCTGGCATCACACCATCTAACACCTTCAAATTTCAAGTTTCATCCGGCTGAGTTCGCTTCCACTCTTCGTCCACAGGTATGCCCAGTACCTTTATAATCTCAACCATTGTCAAAATTTATTAACTCCTTACTTTAAAGCGTCCATAAGGGTATAAAACCAGGGTTTGAGACATCTTCTCCAATCTCTCTCCATGTTGTCACTGCCGTATCTATACTTGAAATTCCTTATATCATTAATGTAGCCATAAATGTTTTAAGTATAGGGTTTTGGTTGAGTGTCATGTGGCTTCAATCTGTAAATGAGAGCCAACTCTAACTTCCCTGCCTACTCATATCAGCTCAAACACCTACTCCACTATGGCTTGTCCTCATGGGTTGATTGGTTTTGGTGTGCAATACCTCTTCCTAATAAACCAGGTCTCTTTATATTATTGATACGTCTTATTACTAATTGCATTGGCTGGTAACAGCATTTGTTAGATTAATACAATTTCTTACATCGTCACCATTCAAAACTTCCCGTTGAAACTTATGAAATGTAATGTAGTCCATAGGGCCGGTGGTTGGAAGGGTTCCTGTTTCAAAAAAATAAAAAACTTGAAAGTTATCATATTATTAGGTTTTCTTATTCATATATATAATACCAACCCCATTCATAAAAAAATAAAAAGTGTTAAGAATATGAAAGTTATAAAAGTCCAGAAAAATAGAAATTGGTTTCATTGTAATGTTTGTGATCATGATGGCCACCGGAACATTTGCCATGGTCACCAGTTTGGATTCGATATCAAGTGGGTTGTCGTTGTTGATGATGGTTATAGGTATGGTGTTGTTTCTTGTAGCACCAGTTGTTATTCCAGTGGCTTAATTAGGAGAAATTACAAAAGAAATGCTTGATTAGGGGAGAGAGAGAGAGAGAGAGAGAGAAGAGAGTATGATCTCAATACGGAAGAGGTTGATGGTGCAAAGAGAGTAGAGAATGGGTTGAAAGATGAGAAGGTAATATAAAAGCTCATGAGGCTTGAATTTTGGTTGTATTTCTTTGCGTATCTCTTTGGTATCAACACTAGGTGAACAATAAAAAGAGACATTGCCAAAAATGGCCACCAAACTCATAACTTGAGAGATGGGTAAAAAAACCACTCCAATGGCCTTTTATTTGGCCTCTCAAAATTTAAAAATCACAAAATTTCTCTCAAATATAAGATCTGCCAAATTTTTTTGGCAGCTCTCTAACACCAACCCCACACACACACATACACACACATATATAATAATATATGAATTTCCGAAAAAGAAAAAAAAAAATTATATTAAAAAAAAATTATATAGCAATATAATCAAATATATAAATTTATTCATATATATATATATATATATGTTGGTCCTTTTTTGACCAGATATTTTAGATTTTTGTTTCTTTTTAATTAGGTTTAATTTTAGTTTCCTTATGATGTCGACAACTTGACTTGAAATGTGCCTAATATTAATATTACTAATACAAATATGATGATGGAAATGGTAATTAAAAAAAAAATGGTGGTTGTGTCAAAAAATAACATTTTACATGAAATGCACCATTGGAGCAGAATTGCTAAAAACATGGAGATGCTCTAGTGCACTCATATATCAATTCTGAACATCGAATAGGACTAACAAGTAAATTGATGCTCAATTTCAACAAGCTAAAAACATACAAGCATGAGAAATTAACCACAATGTGAATCGGTAAAGGGGCCAGCTTGCCAATGGTAATACTCCCAATAGTAAAAATATAATAGATGGAGAAAGTTCATCATGGTAGAACATACAGAAAATCATTCTCTGATTGAAAAAATTGCAGATAAACATAAAATCAAGATTACCTTAAATTTTATGAACAACCTCAGGTTGTTGATCTGTGCCTTTTTCCGTAAATTGTTTTTATTTCTACATCAGGAAGTTGCTTAGACAGTAAGTCTTGAGAAAAAAGCAGCGGCGTGCAAGGAGAAGGAAGTTGCTGGTTGCAGAACCATGAAAAGCGTAGCCGTTGCTCTTATGAAAGGCGTAAATCACATAATCAAGAAGAACCAACCCTCGCAATCCATTGGTTTCTTTTGGATAGAGGTTCAAGTGATAGACATCACCGCCACATCAAGTCACTCAGAAAAGTAGCTTTTCTGCAAGTAGTGAGTGAAATTGCGAGCATTTCAATTTGCGAATGAAGTTGTAATGGTACTTAACTGTATAAAATAAAGCATGTTAATTCAACTTAATATAAAGCCTCCCTGTAAAACTTGCTATTGACAAAAAATTCACAAATACAAAAGCTTTTCATGGATGCAAAACATAAACATAACCATAAGAAGGAAAAAAATAATGAATCTCTTCGGAAGTAGAAGCTCAAAGAACCCAGACACATTTTTCTTTTTCCATATTCCCTGAAGCTGCAGACCAGGAAAAAATAAAAATAAAGAAAGAAGAGAGATGCAAAATAACACTAGGTTCAAAAATAAAGATGCCGAGAAGTTAAAATCTAGTTCAAAACAACCTCCATCCTTGAAATATCATTCAGATCAACAAAATATTCACGGAACATGTGTTACCAGAGATAAGGTCTCATCTCAGATCATTAACCTTCAGTCATGACACACACAGTAAGCTATATATCCAAGCCAACCATATAAACTTACTATTCAAGTAAAAAGGTCCCATAATGCCCGCTTAAAAGCAAACAGATAAAAAGAGGGAGAAAGTGTTCGCGCGGTTTTTGTTCCCTACGCCGCTCGATGGACTCTTCGCGGGCGTGCAAGAGTATTTGTACAAAATACCCAAAATATGTAATTGAACACCAGCCTATCCCTTTTTCCGATGGCTGACTCTCGGGCGATTGTGTGGGAGAGAGACTAGTAAGAACTCCCAGCAAGGTTCTTTTATGCCTTGTTTGTAGCAAGGACTTTTTAGAGTGTCTAAAGAAATGCAACGGCTGATGAATGTTTGAATGGATGGAATGGCCGAGTGAAGACAGGCGACAAGAACTTAATCGATCGCCGACCGAACGTGATGGCGAGAACTTAATCAATCGCCATCAGCCAAACACAATGGCAAAAATTTAATCGATCGCCACCAGCCAAACACAATGGCAAGAATTTAATCAATCGCCACTGAAACGTGATAGCAAGAATTTAATCAATTGCCATCAGCCAAGTAATGACAAGAATTTAATCAATTGTCACTACGATTCAATGGCAAGAATTTAATCAATTGCCATTGAATTGAAAGCCTAACTAAAATTGCGTAATTAAAATTGGCATAATTGAAATTGAAAGAAAGTAAATGGCTGAATCGAAATAGTTGACGAGGATCTAATCAATTGCCATTAAATTGAAATAAAGAAATTGATAGGAAAATGACGTAGAGTCAATTGAAAACATTTTTAGTTGAAATGCATGCTTTGTGGTGGTGCTGGACCAGTTAGAAATGGAATACAATACTTCTATTTATAAAAGTTCTAAAACCAATTAATTTCTAATTATTTCTTGCTAAAATCTCTCTTGCTTCAATCATTTTCTTTTGAAATTCAAACTGAGCTACGGCCTAACATTCCTCGCCTTCAATATCGATGCTCCAGTTTCAATGGGAAAGTCTTTACTGAAATCTCTCTTTTCCTTGATTTGCTTTACTTTGTTGCTGAAAATGGGTCGTACTCCAGTAGTCTTTGACGTCTCTTCTCCTCTTGTTTCGTCTTGCTTCAAATAGAATACCTTTGTTGAAGAAAATATTGATTGCTAAGAAGTCGGTAGAAAGCTGCTGGAAGATTGCTAGTAAGTTGCTGATTTTTAGCAACTTCTTTCTTCAAGCTTGACTGAAATATTTCCCTTAAATGGCTGGAAGACCATTTATAGCCTTGACCCATACACTCACGTGGCTGCCCCTTCCTTTTGAATTTCATTTCCATAAGGATTCAATTTCCTTTCTCATAACTAAATCCCTATTTTATAGGAACTTAATTATGTCACCTTAGCCAACTTCTCCCAATGTTTTATTTCTAATGAAATTTCCTTTTGAAATTAACACAAGTCTCGGTTGTTTAGTAACAACCCTTTTGGTGAGGTGGCTGAATATATAGATATCTTCCTAAATCTTCTCCTACTATTTCTCCATTGGCCGACCATTCTTGGACATGCTTAACACTTATCGGCTTCCCATTGGTCCACGTCGCTGCTGAAGTGGCTGCCAAGTTTTGGTGCCAACAAATGCCCCCTGAATTTCAAATGCTTTTATCACTTATGATACGAAGCATTTGGAATTTGAATCGGCCTAAAATTGTAATTCAAATTTTGGTAATAAATTCTCTTTCCAACCACCTGCTTTAATGGTTATTTTTCCCAATTAAAGCGGTGACTACACTAATCCGCTATTACATCCAGCAAAGTATTTAGCTTGATGCTCTCTAATCCCTAAAATCATTCTTTTTCCCTTAAACTTTCTATCTCTGAAATTCTTTCTCGGAAAAATCGTTCCTGACGTCTTCTATGGCTCCTAAGAAAACTAAATCAACTGATTCCACCTCTATCCCTCAACCTTCCGATCCTTCAACCCATGGCAACATCATAGAAAAATCCCTAAAAACTTTATCTCCTTACAAATACTGTCTCAATACCCTTATCGATCTTCGTACTGACTTCAAAGGCTTAGGTCCTGCTTTCCTTGACGAAGCTCCTTCATCAATCTCACCTTTCTATCCTTCGGCCGACGTTCTTCCATTCCTTCAAACCTTCCCTCCTAATGAAAATGGCAGTTTGCCAGACTTTCATTTTAGAACATGGCATATTCCAAATGATGCTTGGATCAATTGGGTCGACCGGGTTGGAGTTGTGAAGGGAGAAGTATGGAAGGATTGTGACATATATGATGCCATTCAGCTAAGTAAAACTAACATCGCCCAAGACAGGGCCTTGATGATAGCAGCCATGTTTAATTGGTCGACCACCACCAACTCCTTACACTTGAAGTGTGGCATGATGGCTCCAACCATTCAAGACGTGTGCTATCTAACCGGCCTCAAACCCTTTAGGATTGATGTAAGTACCTTGTTGGTAGAGGAGGATCTCCTTTCATCTTCCCTTCAAAGCAAACTGGAACCAAGTCATCTGAATCCTCTTATGGCAAGTACTTAACTTCCACCATGGATCCTCGCGTCCCTGTGAATGATGCTGAACATATTGCCTTCTTGTTGGCCTGGCTGAACAAGTTTCTTTTATGTGTACCGGCCTTTCAAGTCACAAAGGATTTCATTCATGTGGCCGTTGCCCTTTCAAGAGGTAAACACCTTGCTCTTGCTCCCTTGGTGCTTTCCCATTTATATAGAGGGATTTATGACTTGCTTACCTCCAACTTCAGACGCTATGGTGGTCCCCCCTGGTTATTTCAAATTTGGCTTCAAGTGTACTTTCCTGAGCTCGGACCTGTGGTGAGGCCTTCGGCCAATGACCCATTACTTTCTATAAGTTACGCATCGGCCATACCTAAATTCCATTCGTTTGGAGATTGCTTCAATTTCTTTTACTCCGGTTGTGAACAGAGGACTATCAGCCAATTCCTTCCATTTTCTCATTGCTCACAAGCACCTCGATGGCTGACTCCTCCTCAAGGAGTGTCTACCAAAAAATCAGTTGATAAGCATTCGGCCACGTGGGCTAGTTTCTTACTTTCAAGAGACCTTCATTTCAACACTGGCCCTCTAGGCACAGTAAACTCAAAAGTTGGAGTTGAGTTCTACAATCCAAACCAACTTGCTAGGCAATTTGGTCTGACTCAAATGATCCCCATGCCCCCTTATTTCTCTTTCAACAAAAACTTCCATAGGCGTATGGTATTTCCAGACGACTCCTATGTAAAGAACGTGTCCTCCCGGTTCTCAGATCTGCAAACCGGATTCCAATTCCAACCCTTCATCAAGAACCCAGCCTCAGATTCTAGTTTTGATCAATGGTGGTCTTCTTACATTACTTCTACAAGGACGGCTGAGAGCCAGTTACTTGTTGTTAAAATATTGGAATCTTTCAAGTTCATATCTGTGGTCTTTGAAGGGGCATTCGTAATTTCCCGAGCCGTTACCCCAAAGAAGGTGCCTTAAAAGGATCCTCCCAAAGGTAAAAAACAAACGGTCAAGAAACTCCCTTTCTCTCAGCCAGCAGATGCTCCAACAAGGATCAATAAAGAGAGAAAAGCTAAGACCAAAGCCACTGCCAGCCTTCTCAAAGGTACAATCTTCCTTTACCTGCATATATATATATTTTTAAAAGAACTTTTAATTGAATTTCTCTTACACCTTTTTTTTGCAGATTCAGACAGTAGAACTTTATCAGCCTCGCCTAATCCAGAGAACGTTGAGCCCCAAGATGATGAAATTTCCTCAAGCCAACCTCCTCAGCCTACAACAACTGAATCAGTCGTCATCCCTGATGTTCCTCCAGCCCCTCCAAAGGTAAAAGTTTTTATCCATTAACATACGAAGATAATCATATCGGCCCTATTATTAAAATACTTGGCCAATATTGATTTCTAATTCTTGGCCACAACTATTATTGGCCGAGACAAACTTTAATAAAGCTTCCATCTCCAGGGAAAAAGAAAGAAATCAACTACTCATGGTACTTTAAAAAAGACAAGATTGAGCAAAAGTAAGAAACATGAAGTAGAAGAAAATCTAGAAAGCCCTCATCCTACAGAAGACGTGGCCGATGATCCTGTAATTAATGTGGCTGACGATCCTTCTGATCATTCCTCAGATGAAAAAGAGGTAAAGATAACTGTACTTGAACTTTCCAAACTTTTCAATTAATAACATCCTTAATCTCTTCTCTTTTGCAGCAATCCCCTCTTCTTGACTTGGTCTATAGTCCGGTTAGAAATTTCAGCCCTCTGAAGGATTTTCATGATCCCATTGAGGTGCCCTTCAATGTTCAAGTCACTCCTGCTAAAACTTCATCCCAGGGAGATAGCACAGCGGTTCAGCCAGAATTTCCTCCTCCAGTAACTAGTCATCAGCCACTCTTGGTGACAGACATGGCCGAATCATCCAAGGTATTGACTATCTCATAACCCCAAAAATTTTAAGATCTAATCTTTCCTCATTTTGTCAGGTTGTGTATGAGAAAACTCAAATTGTTTCTTTATTTCCTCCACAAAAAGCTCCTGCTTCATCTCTATTGGCCTTGAGCAATTTCTTTAAGGATGT